AATTAGCTAGAGTAGCTCTATGCAGAGCATTGTAGACATAGAAAATTTGCAAAATACATACGGCTCTGAATATAGCAGACCCTTGACTAAACTTCTCTCACAAGCAAAACATGATCACTCTTTGGGTGTTAATCACATAGCGATGTGAACTAGATTATTGACTCTAGTAAACCCTTTGGATATTAGTCACATAGAGATGTGAACTAATCACATAAAGATGTGAACTATTGGTGTTAAATCACATGACGATGTGAACTAGATTATTGACTCTAGTGCAAGTGGGAGACTAAAGGAAATATGCCCAGAGGCAATAATAAAGTTGTAATTTATATTTCCTTATATCATGATACATGTTTATTATTCATGCTAGAATTGTATTAACCAGAAACTTAGTACATGTGTGAATACATAGACAAAACACAGTGTCCCTAATAAGCATCTACTAGACTAGGTCGTTAATCAAAGATGGTTAAGTTTCCTAACCATAGACACGTGTTGTCATTTGATAAACGGGATCACATCATTAGAGAATGATGTGATGGACAAGACCCATCCGTTAGCTTAGCACTATGATCGTTTAGTTTATTGCTATTGCTTTCTTCATGACTTATACATGTTCCTATAACTATGAGATTATGCAACTCCCGAATACTAGAGGAACACTTAGTGTGCTATCAAACGTCACAACATAACTGGGTGATTATAAAGATGCTCTACAGGTGTCTCCGATGGTGTTTGTTGAGTTGGCATAGATCGAGATTAGGATTTGTCACTCCGTGTATTGGAGAGGTATCTCTAGGCCCTCTCGGTAATGCACATCACTATGAGCCTTGCAAGCAATGTGACTAATGAGTTAGTCACGGGATGATGCATTACGGAACGAGTAAAGAGACTTGCCGGTGACGAGATTGAACTAGGTATGATGATACCGACAATCGAATCTTGGGCAAGTAACATACCGATGACAAAGGAACAACGTATGCTGTTATGCGGTTTGACCGATAAAGATCTTCGTAGAATATGTAGGAGCCAATATGAGCATCCAGGTTCCGCTATTGGTTATTGACTGGAGATGTGTCTCGGTCATGTCTACATAGTTCTCGAACCCGTAGGGTCTGCACGCTTAACGTTCGATGACGATTTGTATTATGAGTTATGTGATTTGATGACCGAAGTTTGTTCGGAGTCCCGGATGAGATCACGGACATGACGAGGAGTCTCGAAATGGTTGAGAGGTAAATATTCATATATTGGAAGGCTATATTCGGACATCGAAAAGGTTCTGAGTGATTCGGGTATTTTTCGGAGAACCGGGGAGTTACGGGAATTCACCGGGGGAAGTATTGGGCCTTATTGGGCTTTAGTGGAAAGGAGAGAAGGGCCACAAGGGGAGGCAGCGCGCCCCCCATGGGCTGGTCCGAATTGGACTAGGAGAGGGCGCCCCCCCTCTTTCCTTCTCCCTCTCCCTCTCATTCCTTCTTCTCCCACTTGGACTAGGAAAGGGGAAACCTACTCCTACTAGGAGTAGGAATCCCCCCTTGGGCACGCCCCTTGAGGCCGGCCCTCCTCCTCCTCCCCTCCTTTATATACGGGGGAGGGGGGCACCCCATAGACACACAAGTTGATTTCTTAGCCGTGTGCGGTGCCCCCATCCACAGATTTCCACTTTGGTCATATTGTCGTAGTGCTTAGGCGAAGCCCTACGTTGGTAACTTCATCATCACCGTCAACACGCAGTTGTGCTGGCGAAACTCTCCCTCGGCCTCAGCTGGATCTAGAGTTTGAGGGACGTCACCGAGCTGAACGTGTGCAGATCGAGGAGGTGCCGTGCATTCACTACTTGATCGGTTGGATCGTGAAGACGTTCGACTACATCAACCGCGTTACTCAACGCTTCCGCTTTCGGTCTACGAGGGTACGTAGACACACTCTCCCCTCTCGTTGCTATGCATCTCCTAGATAGATCTTGCGTGATCGTAGGAATTTTTTTGAAATACCGCGTTCCCCAACAACTTCCCCATCATCGGTCGGGCAAAGTATGAGTCCCACTGGGAACGAGTAGCCCGCCGTGGGAAGGAGAGCATAAGGGCCGCCGAGGCCTGTATCGCGGCGGAAATGGCGGCAACGGAGGCGGCTGATGCAGCGGCGTGGGCAGCCGCAGAGGAGGAAGCCATCCACGCCCGCATTGTAAAGAAATGGCAGTGGAGAAACACGCGCGCCCTCGCCGAGAGCAGAATCGGGCGGTCCGTGTCATGGCCGGACTGCCGCCGAATAAGGATAGCGACGCCGTGGATAGCTCCAGCAACGAACATATCCGGCTCAATCCGTACTGTGTCTTCGACCGGTATTTCCGCGAGAAGGACGACAAGGACGCGAGGAAGGGTAAGGGCAGCCGTGGATGAAGTCCACCATAGCCAAACATGCCAAATTTGGGTAGTCCGATGGCATGTTTAGTGTAATGTGATGGAGTAGCCGGACGATGGGCGTGCGTCGACTTAATTGCATGAGTTTGTATGGATTTGAGATATGGTAATTGAGGTGTCCGTATGTGGATTACATTTTTTGAGGAGTGCCCGGTCAATGCCCGTGGACGCGCCCGGGCGCGTCTGTGGGCGTTTGAGGGGCCGGATTTGCCAAGTCCGGCTATAGATCCTCCTACTGCTAACAAAGAAAAGCCTGCCTTAGTTGTGACAAGAACCAAACACACACATAACTTGGTCAAACTAGCCTAAATTGAGGTGTGGCAAAGTGTGACAAGTTGTGGCTTAGAATCAAACAACCCTAAAGTCACCGTAGGCGCCTTATAGTTTACGGGAATGTCTCTTCTCACTGAAAGTGTATTGCCGAATATCCTAAAATAAATTTAGAATAAATGCGAGCACTACGAGACAGTTGTTGAATAGTGTGGACAACGGTCGTGTCGTACCCATCGCGTCAACAGGCCGTGTCTCCAGCCGTTGGCAACACGGCTCATGTTGCGCTCGGAGGTTTGTGACATGAGGCGCGTTGCGCTTGAACAACGTTTTGCGCTCGGGGTTTGTAACATGAGTGAAGCATTTGTGTTCGGGGGTTTGTAACATGAGACGTGTTGTGCTTTGTACTGAAGCGTTTTTTTATCAATGCAACCTGATATGTATTGTGACTGCATTAAGTTCCTGCATTTGTCCCCCATCTAGACGCAAGATGGGTCGTGTTGTGCTCGGTGGGTTGCAACATGAACTATGTTAGTTCCTAAGCATTTTTCACCATTGTGACACAAGTCATGTTGCGCTCAGACTGTCTGACACGAGTCGTGCAGCAAAGCCCATCGTCAGCGCCTCTCTCTCTCTCTCTCCCTCCCTCCCTCCCCCCCCTCTCTCTCTCTAGTCGACCTGTCCACAACAGACCCCATGTTATGCTTGGCCAGTCTGCAACATGAGTCGTACTGCAAGACGTATGTGACATCGGGCATGTGCTAACGGCCGCCCGATAAAACTTGGATCAGATGACTGTGGTGACGATCGATGTGTGTGAAGTAATTAGTTGACTGAGGGACATCGTTTCGCTTCCTTTTAAGGGGTTAAGCACCTCTCAAAACCTTTAACTCCTATAAAAAAGGGGAGTGCTCGTTCGCTGGCTGATCTTTTAAAAGGACCGGGTGGGTCGCCAACCATTCAACCTGAGCTCATGATGGCAAGAAGACCCTTGTTGCAGAAATATATCTTGAAACAAAAGCCTTGTTGCAAAAAAAATGTTGCAAAAAAATACTGTAGCTCACGATTGTGTCCATCGAGATTGCAACAAGAGTTATGTTGCAATTGCAACATGACCCCTGTTGCAGGGTGACAAGGCTGCAAGGGAGGTAGGGCGCATGGCAATGACGACCGGAGCCGGCCGTGACGGCTTCCATGGTGGTCGCGACGCCGCAGGGTGAGATGATCCGACGACGACACGTCCTGGGTGGTTGTGCCTTGCCAGATTCAGCGATGGTGCATCGTCAGTGGTCGTGTCTGGCCAGATCTGGTGACGTCCCATTGTCGGTTGCGGCACCTAGCGTTTGTGGTTGCCTGCAAATGCGAGGAGAAGAGAGGTGGAGGAGGAAGGGAAGGGGCACAGCAGCGGACGCACGGCTCGCTGGTGACGACGCTCCTGGCGACTGGCCAGATGGAATAATGCAATGTGGGGTACGTTGCTTTCGATCCGATCGGGGGCATGTAAGACGCTAGGTTGACTTTGTTTACCTGTATGCAACAAACCCTCTCTTGCGCTCCGTAGAATTGCAACAAGGGCCATGTTGCAGAAAGTTAGCCTATGGTGATATTCCCACCGCTCCATATCCTAAAACCCTCAAAACCCAACAAAAGTCGGCACCCCGCCGCCCTCGTGCAGTTCTCACAAGAAAACTCTAACCTACATACATAAACTGAATCATGTGACTAAAATTTATTTGTTGTTCAAAAGTTCACGTCAACTTTGGTTATTATCAAAACCGAGGCAAAATTAAATGGTTATTGTAGGAACCGAGTCGTGTCTATGTATAAAACCATAAAAACCAAAAACCGAATAAACCGAATAGAATCAAACGGAAAAATACTGAATACACACCCTTTACCCAATCCCAATTCCACTTAAAAATCCCCAGCAAATCCAAATCACCACACAGCCCCCCCCTTCGCACTCCAATCCATCACAAAGCACCCAAAATAGACCTTCCCGCTCGAATTCCACATCCCAAATTTTCGGTTACCGCGTAAACTCACCACAAAACCACAAGGTTACACCTACCCACACAGATCCACCCCATCCGCGCACCCAAATCCGATGGTCCATCAAATCCAACACCCCACACCCTGCCACCTCAACGATCCGAACCCCAGCCCTCTCCACCAATCACGCCCTTCGCGCACGCCTATATATTCCTAGCCGCCCGTCCCCTCAAACCCACACCTCAAACCCTAAACGCAAATCTCCCACCTTTGCGCCGCCAATCCAGTCTCTCGCCTCTCCTCCTAGAAACCACCATGGCACCCAAGGCCGAGAAGAAGCCCAAGGTGGAGAAGCGCGTGCCCGGGAAGGAGGGCGAGACTAGCAAGAAGAAGGCCAAGAAGAGCAACGAGACGTACAAGATCTACATCTTCAAGGTGCTCAAGCAGATTGACCCGAACATGGGTATCTCCTCCAAATCAATGTCCATCATCAACTCCATCATCAACGACATCTTCGAGAAGCTCGCCGGAGAGTCGGCAAAGCTCGCACGCTACAACAAGAAGCCCACCATCACCTCTCGGGAGATCCAGACTGCCGTGCGCCTTGTCTTTCCAGGCGAGCTTGCCAAGCACGCCGTCTCCGAGGGAACCAAGGCCGTTACCAGATTCACCGTGTATTAGATCGCCACCAAGACTTTCTTAGTCTGGTTTGGTTTCTTCATTTGTCAACAAAAATATGGAGTTATGTTTCCCTATGCAAAAATGTAGAATGAGTTGGATTTGCTAATCAATGAATTATCGAGTGTTTGTTTGAAATTTGCCTTTCTTTAATTTGATCTCATCCCTTTAATTTTTACCTCTTATATATTATTTGGTAATATAACCCTGTAATTCTGTCTTGGATGATTTCCTTGAATTAAACCTCGGTGATTAATCCATTAACAGAGGGCCCCCCTTGTAGATGTCATGAGATATATCGGCTACATATTGTTGTATATGCGAAAAGTTTTTATTTGACCCGATATGTTAACATATTACTATTTATTTTCAGGGGAAAGATTTATGTGTGAGTTTTTAATACCATTAACTCATTCTAATAATTTTAAACATCAAACCATATTATAGTCTCTATCTTTACCTGATAATAAAGTACCAATCCCTTCTGCCCGTTCACCGACATGACATTTTTGCAAAAGTTTCCTTGTACTTTTTGGTAACTGAAGCCCACAATCCCTTTTTAAATGGATTATGAGAAAACTTCCATTTTCACAAAAAAAGACCCTGTGCTTTGGTTTATTCGACCCACAGTCATTTCTAGAGTGGCTAATTGGTAAACACATGGGTCTCCTTCCCTTTGATGTGTGCTCTGCTCGATTCGCACGGGCATGGCGCCACCGCCGGCGGCCGGTCTTCTTCTCCGGCCATCCATAGCCCGAGACCGGTCTTCTTCTCCGGTCATCCGCCTCCCTGTCCTCCTTCCCCTCTTCATTTGTCCCTAATCTTCTCCTTCTTCCTCCCGTGACGCTCGGTTGGCCACCGTCAAGCCACCACGCCCCAAGATCCTCGCTCGTGCTGATCCGTCGCCGTGCTCTCCCTCCGAGGTCACTCTTTGAAACAATCCACCACGGGCGCGTGGACAGTTCCTTAAAAGCGAGCCCGTCGTGATCCACCACGCATAACCCGTTCCCCGCCTCCCTCTCCGTGCAAGCTCGACTCATTGGTCGGGTTGCTGGATCCTTGGCGGGGAGCGCCCCTGCGCTCACCGGCGGGGTGGACGTAGCTCTGGGCCAAGCGTGCCATACACCGCCACACAAGTTGTGCACCACCATGGACGCAGACGCCGAGTCCCGGGCTTCCCCTTACCTGGCCCTCCAGGCTGCAATCGACAGAGGCCGGCCTTGGTTATCTCCCCTCGTGGCCGATCAAGGAGGCGCGAACAATGTCAATATGTCATCAACACCTCAGGGTATGGCCGCCACATCTGGTAAAAATTGACAACAGTACTATTGATTGACTGAATGATAAGAACGCTTCTGTTTTGTCTGTTTAATTCAGTCCTTGGGCTATCCGTGGAGAACACACACTCCATGGTCCAGACTTGTGACTATACTTAAGTGGAATTATTCTGTGGTCTCTTCATGATTGATCACGGGGTTGCGAGTGAAATTTGTGTATGGAGCATCAGTATCATGGTCATAGAGTCGGCAGGCTTCAGTTATGTGTACTTGGTTGGTTGGAGATATATGAAGCGTAAGGGACCAGCTCATTCATACTTGAGATTCAGTAATGTTCTTGCAAGTTGCAACCATTTAGTTAAGATCTGCAGGTCTAAAAAACAAGCACCGCAGGAATCAGATGTCAATGAGGCAGCACGACTCTGCAAGAAGTTGAACATAAAAGAAACAAAATGGAAACAACTCGATGATTTAGGAACAACACGTCATTGACGACAGGCATTTTTCCAGTCAGGGGAGAGGATTTTTTTATGCCGCGCTAGAACTTTTCGTGCTACGGATTTAAATAGTCCAGTGTCCAGTATTATGGGATCCACTCACTCTACAAGTACTGCAGCTCTTAAAAGTGCTAAGTTAATGAAAAGGGTGTTCCACTAAAAAATAACAAGAATGGATCGGTGTTTTTCTTGAATCCCCTCGGTTTGAACTAATGCCACGTATTTTCAAGAATAATTTGTGAATCAATTGTCAATCTAAATATGGTTGACAGATTGTGTACGGACGGAAATTTGAAGCAGATTAGGCAGGGGTCTTCGTCGGAGAGGTTGCGGAGTGGATGAACTACACTCCTGCATCCACTATGGAGGCAGCTAATGCTTATCCTAAATTCCCTTCTCTAAAATAAAAATAGTTTTTAGGTCTATATTGGCAACAATACTCTTCACTGGATTATGAGCCAAATGAAGGGAACTAGGGAAGGAGGTCTGATTTGCATCTCCTGAAGGGGCACACCACAAAATTATTTCATTTGGGATGCGTTCCTTCCATCAGAGAGTAAAAAACCGGACAATAAGGTCACTCTGAGGACAGCTCACACTGATGTTTACGTGAGGCCTTAGCAATTTTTTTCCGTTTTACCTGAGCTAATATTTATTGACCGAGTGTTAGCCAATGACATTAGTTGATGTTACTCATGGAGAGGATTTGGATGTTGTGTGTTATTTATTTATTACACACGCTATAAGCCTCAGATTAGCTTCATGGTATATCTACCTCTTTCCGCCTCTCAGAATTAAGATGTGTAGGTTCTGAATATTTCTTAGATTTATGACAATAGACTGTATGATTATCTATGGTAATCAGAATTTAGAGCTATACAAGATTTGAATTACAATGTTCTTTTATACAGCAATAAGGCTACAGATTTTCAGTAAGTTCGTTTCATTTTTAAATGGTTCAGATGATGTCATCAATCCATTGGAGTAGAAGGGAAGAATGATCTGAAATTGCTAAAAACATGGCAAATAAAGTTGCATTTCATATCTTAAAAGTAGGAGATGCATATTAGTAGAAACTTAATAGTTGACATCCAAACTCAGGTACATCTCTGATATGATCGCTTTGTATTGATCTGTTGGTAATTACATGATTGATTAATGGAGAAACAATGAATACTGTAGGTAAGTGAAGGCATACGCAAATCAAGGGAGCACACTGTAAGAGCCATCGCTGCAGAGTTTGACTCCACATTTTCTTTGGATGATTGTTCGCCTCTTTGAATCTAGATTTTTTTTAACGTGACCACTTCGATTGAATTGATTATTTTGCATTACACATAGTGACCAAAACTAATGCTCTGTCCAGGCTTTGGGACACACTTTGCTGCATATAGGTGTTCACATGCTTCATGCTTTTAAGTATCTGCTTTCACGGGATAACTCAGTCCATATGTTTCTTGAGAAGTTAGGACTAACAGAAAAATATTCTATGTCTCGCAACATGAAGAAGCACGCGATAATTTATAAGTTTTGGAGTCTGCTAAACTCCAGTTCTGATTTGAAAGATGCATACATACATTATTTTTTTATTTGCTTTACTTGGTCAGTTTGTAAACTGATGCATTTCAAAGATGCAAGTTCATGCTCAAGATTTAATTGTATTAGCTTTAAGAAATGAGTAACTGTATTATATGTCGTCTGTGCTTGGACCTAGGGGATTTTCAAACGTAGGCTTTATGGTTTTTACTCTACGTATGCAACTACAACCATCGTCACTTGCATTGTGCTATTTTTGATAGACTAATATGGTTAGTTTGCAAAGTTCTTGGATAAATTAGGAAGATATTGTAAATCTTTTTTCACATGTTCGACCGTTTCATGCTGCTAACGGAGCCATGTTGATGTTGTTCTTAACTTGGTGTGCATATAAATTGTTCTTTCAGACAGGCTGGGCAGTCTTCATTATCATAATGGTGTCCCATTGGTTGGTATACACAATTGCTTTGTGTTGTTTGCAAAGATTAAATAAGTAAGGTTCTAATGATGGTTTTGCGGTGAGTATATATATGACCAATCTCTGTGGAGTTTCACTCCATCTGTATGAAAGTTTCTATGTCTAGTTGCACTTCGATGGCGGTGTGGAGCTAAAGTAGATGTCGACGGAGGACATGAGGGCGGACTTTCCAAATACAAAATCCATGATCCAAAAATCGACAATCCAACCCGGTGCAATGCAGGGGCACTTTTACTAGTAAGTTTAAAATGTGCTTTGCTTCAGTTCTGAATATGCCCAGTTTTTAGTCTGCTATCTGCTCAGGCAATTTCTTTGTTTTGGTCCTTGCTTCTCCCTTTAAAATATGTTTTTCATTGTGCTATGTCCTATTTTCTATAGAATTAGTTTGATGAGATGATTGGCTGCCAACTAAGGTTAGGAGGTGTACTCACTACAAATGGTGTTCTGTAGATGGAAAGTTTGTATTGACCAGATTTGTTTGCTCGTACTACATTTTATTTTCAGATCCAAGATCTTATTGCAAGCTTTAATAATATTAACTCATTCTAATGGCTAAGATGTGCATGAAATTCAAGTTCACTTCCAAATGCACAGATTTCAGAGCTTACCCTATGTATGGTAGTTGCACTAACTACTCCGGACCCAATATGTTTGGGGACTAGGTTATAGTTAAATGTGTTTTAGGCTCATTGGAGAAGCATTGTAAGCTTAGCTTATTCATGTAGAAGGTGGTGACACCCTGAGAAAATTAGAACCAAGTTTAGATGATTTATAGATATAATACTTCATACCGATGCTATCTTGGTAACATTTATTTACTTAATGCATATATATAAATGGAGTCAACCTTGTAAAGATTGCATCATGCTATGGATTGTATTTATGGAAGTTATGTTTCTTGCAAGAGCATAAACCTCCTAGTTGCATATTTGAAACATTTGTGAAGAAGCCTATCATGGGGATCTATAAAATCATGTTCATGATTAATTTATACCAAATATGCCAATCAAGCAATCCATCACATAACCATTCCTCGAAGTTGTCTAGCATGCAAATGAAATTGCAAAATCACTTTATTTGCTCGTGGTTAGTGCTCTCTTACACTGTAATTCAATTGTTATACAAATTGTATCGATTTGTGCCATGTATCTTGTCCCATGTTCTATGTACCAAAGCGTCCATGCTAAGATTAAAATTGTATAGTAATGGATTCACTCATGGATATCATGTTCTTATCTTTTAGTGACTATTTTGCATGTGCAGTTCTCTTTGTGAATGCACATCTTGATGATTATCGATCACATAAGAGACATATACACGAACATGATAAAGTGCATATCCCTCTTTGGCATCCTTACTTCCTTGTTGGTTACTATTTACTTTGATTATTTGGTGGATTTGTAAGATGTTGAGAATTGAGTGTTTGTTTGTATTGCATATATCTTTGCACACTCATGACTTTTGGATGCATTTTGTACCCATGCTTTAGGTGATGATCTTACTAGATATGTCTATTATCGCTTATTTACAATATGTACTTTGGATCTTTTGAATGCATGCTTCTCATGTTTGATGCTTATTGTCATATCATATCATCTTGCTACATTCTATGGATCCTCAATATAGGTTGCTCTCTGTCGTGGATTTATCATGGCAGATGCCCTAATGAAAGGACTTAGGTGTGAAGCCATCGCAACTAGGTTACCTTGAAGGGGTTGAACGGGACAAAGGACACAGAGAGTTTACCCAGGGTCGACCCCTCACAACGAGGTAAAGGCCTACGTCCTGCTTCTAATTGTATTGCTTGAGTTTCGATTACAAGGGAGCGAATACGCTTGACCTAGATCTCGATTGCTTGTTTCTTGAGTTAACCTGCCGCCAGGTCTCACCTTTATATACATAGGTAGAGACCCCGAGGCTTACAGAGTCCTGGCCGGCTCACACAGCGTGTCCAACTCGGTTTCTAACTAATCCTACCTTACAGAACAAGTCTTCATACGGTAGTTCACATGCCTAGGTCTTGGGCCTTTACTAGGCCTGCCTCCAAGAGCCGCCGTCTTCGTACTTCTCCTTGGGCCTCCTTGGACCTTCTTCATGTTGAGCCGCCAACGGTGTAACCCGGCCCCTCCTGGGCGGGTCACACCTAGGAGCTATATCCCCAACATTAGGCCCCAAGTTGATTTGAACTTGTTCATATCAATCTCCACTATTTAACTTAGCAGAATGTATCAGTGTCGAATATTCATCAGACCGATATAACCCGCCATGACATCACATAAACAGAAATATTGTAACCCGCCATGACGTCATGTGCATTGATTCGGCACAAAGCCCAGGATATCTCAACGGATCTTTATCTTAATGGACCTCCCGAGAATCGAGACACCCACATCGTTTAACATAATAATTTTGCCTCCTTTATTCCCGCGCATGCCATCTTTTCACCTCCTTATAAATAGGGACAGGGGTCCTCTTCTTCACTTTTTACCCATGCCTCTGCCTCTTCTTCTTCCACACGATGACCGACGCCTTCGGAGCTCTGCCGCCCCCGTCGACTGCATCAACCTGACCTCGACCAGAAAATGGCGGCGCCCCTCCGCTGTTCATCAGCATCTCCAAGTACCCATCTCCTTTTTCCTCACATATGCATTAGGGTTTCTGCAGTTCTTTAGTGTTCAACAGCATTCATCACCCTTGTCTATAGTTCATCGACCATGCCACCTTAGTAGGACCAAAACGCGACGCTAAAGTCACACCTTACTCCTCTTTAATATCTGCTATCAAATATGGATCCACTTGCTGCTGTTGAAATTCACTCCCCACACCTGTGGTTCGTCCACTGTTTTTAGGGCTAGTAATTTTCTCCTGTTTCTGTAACGACTGTAGATTCGAAATTATAGGCTGAATCTATGAAACTTGTTTGCCTAGCACTTAGTGAAATTCTATCCAATCCCTAGATCTTGTAACCATCGGCTTGACCACTGTTGTATGAGTGGCTCAAATAATACTTTGTAACCCGCCAAATACCAGCCGGCTTACCTTATAAGTTGTTTAAACTGCCAGTACTTATCCAGGCTTGACATTATCTGTCTCGTACCTCACCGGTTTAACCATGCTATCTTCTTTTCTGCAACCATTAAGCGGCTTACCAATCCTTGCATATAACCAATTTTGCATAATAACTTAACTTTGTTCAACCATTGGGTGACTCATCATCACAAATTTGACCCGCATTGATTTCCTTTATAGGTTTTCACCTGATCAAAATGACTAAGACCGTCACCTCCTGCGACTGGGTCATTTCCAATGTCACAGAACGGACTCTCCAAGAGTTTGTTGCCATGGGTGTTTTGCCATCTAAGAATGTCATCCATTGGCGGGTTCCAGGGGCTGAGGTTCCATCTCAACCAAAAGAAGGAGAAGTTATAGTTTTCTCTGATCATATGCTCCGAGGCTTCTCACCGCCCAGCTCAAAATTCTTCCGTGATGTCCTGAATTTCTATCAGCTTCACCCTCAAGACATCGGACCCAATTCAGTTTCCAATATTTGCAATTTTCAAGTCTTTTGTGAATTATACCTTCAAGAGGAGCCCAGCGTTTGACCTCTTCGGAGAGTATTACTATTTGAACCGCCAAACAGAGATGACAGATGGCCCCAGCCTTGAACTTGGTGGAATTTCTATCCAGAGGTGAAGAGACGCCGTCTTTCCTTCAGCTGCACTTCCTAGTCACCCAAAGACTGGAACTAGACTTGGTTTTATTGCCAAGACACCTCTCCGGCGGGTGAAAATCCTCTGTTGGGTTTCCGTATTCACCGGCTCAACCCCAGGCACCCACTTCCAGACCGGATTAGCTCTGCCAAACGAGCCAAATATGGACCCACTTTTACTAAGATAAGGGCCTTGATGGCAAATGACTTGACAGGTATTGACCTGGTTCGATGCTGGGTTAGCTGGAGAATCATGCCTTTAAGCCACCGCCCCGGCTTAATGTGCACATACACAGGCGATGTGAATGACCCCTTGCGGTATAACTCTATATCCCTTGAAGAGAAGGACCTCAACGAAATGACCAAGTCTGTACTTGGAGAAACTCTAGAAAACTCCAGCAAAACAGGGCTGAGCCCCTTCTATGTTCTTAACCCAGCTCCAGCTGTAAGTATTTGAAGCCCCTTTTACTTTATTCATTATTCTCATATGTTGCACTGGCCTTATTATCCTGCTCTCTTCAGGCCGACTCTCCTTTTTGGAATAAGAAGCTTCAAGATAAACCGACTAAAAAGGCCAGGGGAAAGACCAAGGCTCCCAAGAGACCCGCCAAGATGAAAATAGATGCAACAGACCAATTTACTCTGGATGATGAGTCGGAGGTAGAACTTGATTTCCTTGGCTCCTTTTTTGTGCATCTTATTGACACTGACCCCTCTCAGGATGACACGAAGACCAGCTAGGCAGATGTTGTAGAGGTAACTATTATTTCCTCCGACTCAGAGCCTTTGCCAAGACAGAAAGTTCGGCACGTGACCCGGAAAGTAAGGTTTTCTCACCCTTTAGCTTACTTGGATCCAAACTTTATTTTGAAGAAACAACAGCATGAAGCTCGGCGTACAACTCGGAACAGCGGAGGGGGAGACCTTCATGCCGGCTTACCCAACATGCCGGCCCCTCGCAAACGCCGAGCAGAGGTTCCTCAGAACTCAAACTTCTCTTTTCCAAAGGCGGGTCTTATTCGTCAACCGCTTAATCCTTCCGATTCAAATTATCAGGGAACCTCTCACTCCTCCTCCGGCAACTCTACTGGGACTCAGATTCCTCTCTTCAAAGTCGCTCCTAGGTGAGAACATTTAACCTCTTTGTTTTTTAACACTTTACAAACTGATATATTAACATCTTCATATGTCTTACTTTCAGCGGTATAGCCAAACCCAGCAAGAAATTGAAGATGAATAAGCCGACCGAAGACCCCAAGGTTATTGAGCTGGAGAAACAAATCATATCTGAAGCTTCTCATCACACTCCTGAGGCTGCTGCTGATGACCCACCACCAGAGACTCACGACGTCACGGTGGATCCAATGGGTGTTGACCCATCCAGCACTAAGCCGCACAGTCCCATAAAACCTGCTGAAGAGCCTCCTTCATAACAAACTGCTGAGGATGTCATCATTGCTGGCACTGGTTATGCTGAACCCAGGAACCCCACCATTCTGGCCAAGCATTCTGCCAAAGAAGAGTTAATTGAAAAAAGCAAGGCCAAATTTGACGTTGCAAATTATTCACACTTGGGTGTCAGTGAATTATACTCTAGTTATCTGAGCCAGCTGCATACTGGTCATGATCTAGAGGCAGATTTAGTCAAGAAATTGCGCCAGAAATATGAGGTATGAACATCTGTTTCCTTTGCATATATAGTCATCCAGCTCAAAGTCTTATCCGTAGGAAAAAATATATCTGAGTAGGGTTAAGACTTGTCCATATGTTACTGCAATCTCTAAAGTCATAGCCATCATGAGCCGACTTATCTTAATAAAAGATGAACCGGGTTATTTTCATTACTTTGAAAGAAAAGCTCCAAACCATAGCCCTCATAGGCCGGCTTATCTTGAGAAGGATGAGCCGGATCACGAACAATATAATGCAAAAAAGAGCTTCCGCACACATTAGCCCCCAAGTGTCAAGTGCTTTGCTTGCAATGTGCTTGAGACTTGTATGTAGATTATGACATGGCAAATATGTTTATAATTGTTTAACTCTTACTTGCAGGATGCTTTAACTCAGGCCGAGCCCCAGGTGGTCGACTTAAAGACCAGGCTTGAGCAACAAGAAGCTGAAACATGCGAAGCTGACTCCAAGCTTAAGCTTGGTCTAGAGAAGAGCGAGAAGATCAGAGCTGGGTTTTCCACATAAAGAAACGCTTGGAAGAAAGAGAAAACTGCCTTAGTACAAAGAGCAGAGACTGCCGAATCTTCTTTGAAAGAGACCACTGCAGAACTGTTCGGCTTAAAACGCCATATCTCAAAGATGACAACTGCTATCTTTGGTAAGGAATTTGGGATGCTTTAACCACTTCCAATTTTTTAATTTTTAACCTGCCTGGTGGCTTATCTACGCGCTCATCTAACAAGCCCCAGGAGTGCCAACCTTGGCCAGGACATGTTGGTGAAGCTGAAGGCGGTTTACACTTTGGTGGAACAGCTCTACACAGGCACTCAGCAAACCATAGCGGCCATCTCACACAGTAAACAACCACCTTCACTCATCAGGGAGGTACTGGACAAACTATCTGCCATGCTCCAGAGAATCGAAGAGATTAAGCGATCATCAGCCCGAGCTGGTGCCATCACTGCTTTGAGCCGGGCCAAAGCATGGCAAGCAGAGTTAGACCCAGAGGAGATGGCCACTGGTTGTCCAAGTCTCAAAGAAGACGGGTCTCCCTTCGATGCAAGCAACTTTACCAAATGTGTAAAGGAGATGCACCCTCTGGCAAGCAAATTGGCTAAAGAGACGGATTTGTCCAAGTATCAGGCGGCTTACACGATGGAGAACTCCAAAGTGAAAGCACCGGCTTATGAGATTGTGGATCTTATTCCTCCAATACGTAAGCGTACTTTTGCTCTTAACATTGATCCGTCCACACTTATAGATGATGAAGCTATGTTCAAAGCCTTAACTGGCATCGACTGGACATCACCTGACTTCCAGACGATGGACGACGAAGAAGAAACAATGCAGGATAACCCAAAGGCTTCAACTCGCCAGGACCAAAAGAACTGATCCAAGGGGCGGCTCTCAGACCGCGGCATAGAATTTCTTTTGAAAAACTCTTAATCTTGTGGGCTTGGGGAAGCCTTGTAATAGGCTAGTTGAAACAATGATCTGTCATGCCATCGTGCATGTGGTATCCTTTGAATGTTTAAACCGCCGAGATTGATTTTTATCACCCGCCACTTGTGCATACAATATTATCAACTATGTGGATCAGATCAAGCATCATCATACTTCCTATACACAAGGAAACAACATATGCCCTGGCGGTTTACGCCAGGGCGGGTCACAAATATCTTTGAAAACCCCCTGATATAATAGTCTTTGATAAAAAAGAGTAAAGGCTATTTAAGCCGGAAATATGCCAAAGCGACTTAAAGTCGAAGGCAGGGCGGGTTAGAAAAACCCTAAATATCTATTCAAATATGAAAATTCATACATGTAGATTGATATCATAATGACGTTGTAATGAGTGTAATCCAACATGGGTATTAACCCGTAAATATGAAAAATCATGACTTGAATTTATTCAAGGCAAATCATCCTGGCGACTTAAAGTCTGCTTATCAGGGCGGGTTATTAACCCAATATGCTTAAGTATACGTCATAGAATCAAGGCTACATGGCCTGAATTGCAAAAACCATGGCCTGAATTGCTTAATATGGAAGAAGGATATGAATCCAAAATTTTCAGAAAAGACAGAAATCCAGAAAAACAAGGCTTTCATAGGCCGCCTACCCTAAAACTTCAAGTGCTTTCATGGGCCGCTGAACCACCAAGTTAATTCCTGCACACTTGTAAGCCGACCCTCACATGACAAATCGCCGTTTTAACTTTAACAAGTTCAGGGTCTTATTTAAAATATTGACTGTCAAGAGTACGGCGGGTCATTCCAGGATTACCTGGGCGGAGTAAGAACGACATACATGCCAGATAACCCAGAATTTGGTGTTTACACCTGGCATGTAAGCCAATCAAGAGGGTAAGCATAGCTATGCTCATTGAGCGGGAAGCCCCCAAGTTACCTGCGAGAAGGCATGTAAGCCTGATCAAGAGGGTAAGCACAACTATGATCATTGAGCAGGAAGCCCCCAAGTGACCCGCGAGAAGGCATGTAAGCCTGATCAAGAGGGTAAGCACAACTATGATCATTGAGCAGGAAGCCCCCAAGTGACCTGCGAGAAGGCATGTAAGCCTGATCAAGAGGGTAAGCACAACTATGCTCATTGAGCAGGAAGCCCCCAAATGACCCATGAGAAGGCATGTAAGCCTGATCAAGAGGGTAAGCATAGCTATGCTCATCGAGCAGGAAGCCCCCAATTGACCTTATGAACAAATAATAAAGGCTCAAACACTTAGAATTGAAACGACAGAGGCCCTGAATTATCAGGGATGCCAACTTTATTATAGTGATCATAATATGTACACTGAAGAAACTATGTACATCACAAGAGCCGGTGGCTCAGCTATAATAGAGCCGAAGGTGAGCGATGTTCCACGGCCGGCGGGTCTCCTGCTCCGATGTGCGTGAATCCTTGTATTCTCGAATATCAATGAGGTAGTATGACCCGTTGTTCACATTTTTTGCTGACCACAAAAGGCCCTTCCAAAGGTGGGGATAACTTATGCATATCTGTTTGATCTTGTATTAACCGGAGCACCAAGTCGCCTTCTTGAAAGGTCCTGGTTTTAACCCGGCAGCTATGATAGCGATGCAAATCTTGCTGGTATATCACCGAACGAGCTGCCGCAAGGTCGCGCTCCTCATCCAACATATCAAGAGCATCCTGATCTGCTTTTTCATTGACAGCTTCAACATAAGACGCCACCCAGGGCGAGTCATGATGGATATCGCTTGGAAGAACCGCCGCTGCCCCATAGACCATGTAGAAGGGCATGTAACCTGTTGATCTGTTGGGGGTGGTGTTGATACTCCAAAGCACTGAGGGTAACTCCTTAACCCAACAACCCGGCGTCCTTTGCAAAGGGACCATAAGACGGGGTTTATCCCTCTCAAGATTTCTTGATTGGCCCTTTCAGCTTGACCATTAGACTGGGGGTGAGCCATCGAAGATACGTCGAGATGAATATGCTCTTGTTGACAAAACTCTTTCATAGTGCCCTTAGACAGATTAGTGCCATTATCAGTTGTGATATTGTGAGGATAGCCAAAGCGGAAGATCACCTTCTTAATGAATTGAACCGCGTTGCTGCATCACACTTACTGACTGACTCTGCCTCAACCCACTTGGTAAATTTGTCAACTGCCACCAAGAGGTGGGTCTTTTTGTCTTTGGACCTCTTGAAAGGTCCAACCATATCCAGCCCCCGGACTGCAAACGGCCAAGTAATTGGAATCATCCTCAATTCTTAAGCCGCCACATGAGCTCGTCTAGAAAATTTCTGACAGCCATCACACTTGCTAACCAGATCTTCTGCATCAGCATGAGCCGTCAACCAATAAAACCCATGACGAAAAGCTTTAGCCATAAGGGTAGAGCCAGCATGATGGCAACAATCTCCTTCATGAATCTCCCTTAGAATCTCATGACCCTCTTTAGGAGAAACACAACGTTGGAACACGCCTGTGACACTGCATTGGTGTAACTCGCTGTCGATAATAGTCATAGACTTAGACCGTCGGGTTATTTGCCTGGCCAAAGTTTCATCCTCAGGTAGCTCTCCTCGGGTCATATAAGCCAAATAAGGAACTATCCAATCAGGGATGGCATGACGAGCTGCCACCAACTATGCCTCCGGGTCAGGTACAACAAGATCTTCTTCAAAAGGCAACTTAACTGAAGGATTATGCAACAAGTCAAGAAAAACATTAGGGGGCACTGGCTTATGCTGCGACCCAAGCCGGCTCAAAGCATAAGCTGACTCGTTTTCCCTTCGATCCAGATGCTCCACCTGACAACCTTTGAAGTGACCGGCGATGTTATCAACCTCCCGGCGATAAGCCACCATGAGTGGGTCTTTAGAATCCCAAGTTGCCAAAGCACCTAACCCTGTTTAGATTCATATCTTTGGCCACCTTTAGGCCATGAAGCAAGGCCTAATATCAGCTGCATTATTAGTGCAAGGAAACATAAGCCTTAAAACATAACAAAATTTGCCACCTCGTGGGGAAGTCAAAATAACTCCAGCCCACATGAGCCTTCCAATTGGCTGGATCCATCAAAATGCATAGTCCAATATGTATTATCAGGCTTCTCCTCAGTCATCTGCAACTCTATCCAGTTATTAATGAAATCCATAAGAGCTGGAGACTTGATAGTTGTCCTTAGCATATATTTCAAACCATGGGGTCCCAGCTCAATGGCCCACTTGGCCACTCGGCCTACAGCTTCTCTCTTTTGAATAATATCGCCTAAGGGAGCAGAGCTGACCACACTGATAGGATGACCAAGAAAATAATGCTTCAACTTGTGACTGGCCATGAACACCCCATATACTAGCTTCTGCCAATGTCGGTATCTCTATTTAGACTCAATTAAGACCTCACTGACATAATAAGACGACCTTTAAACCAGATACTCCTTACCATGACTCTTTCCTTTCCACTACAACCGCCACGCTGATGGCTCTGCTGTTAGCAGTCGCATATAAGAGCAAGGGCTTCTTCTCAATAGGAGCTGCAAGAACCGGTGGCTCAACTAACTGTTTCTTAAGCGCCTCAAATGCCTCATTAGCAGCATCACTCCAGACAAAACGATCTGTCTTCTTCACCATCTGGTATAAAGGAATAGCCTTCTCTCCCGGGCGGCTTATAAACCGGCTTAAAGCTGCAATACGACCCGCCAAACGCTGGACATCATTAATGCAAGCCGGCTTAGCCAATGAAGTAATAGCCTTGGTTTTTTCTGCGTTAGCTTCAATACCTCTCTCAGAAACCAGAAAACCCAAGAGCTTGCCTGCAGGCACACCAAAAACACATTTGGTTGGGTTAAGCATCATCTTGTAGACCTGGAGGTTATCGAAGGTCTCCTTCAAATCATCTAGCAAGGTCTCCTTCTTTCTGGACTTCACAACAATATCATCCACATAAGCATGAACATTGTGTCTTATCTGGTTGTGAATACAATTCTGAACACAACGCTGATAAGTCGCCTGGGCACTCTTGAGTCCAAAAGGCATT